TTTCATGAAGAACACTCAGGCAGATAAAATCATTGAAATGCACATAATACAGCAAACATACAAAATATAGGTGCAGTGGATAAATGAAGACATACAACTTGACAGGTTCTCAGTTTATGCACAATAACCGAAGGTACAAACATTATATTACTGAAATTCAAAATCTTCAAGATAACTAACTCAATTATCTACAACTTTCATGTTGATCACTTAAGCCAAAAATAACTTTAAAACCGAGTTTCAGCATAAAACATTTAGGTCAAAAAATCTACCAACGAAACTGTTTATAAATTTGCAGCAGTTCACTAAAACAGCGATATCCCATGTTATACCACTCTAAATCAAACAAGCTCAAAACCTACAGAAGTTACACTTGAAATTCTACAAGATCCAAGAAGAGCATTTTTAAGAATAATCACGTTAAAGGCCCCATTTCATAACATACATTTCAGTCATATACACTGCCACTATTTCAAAAATTCTGGGCATAACCCCATCTTTAAAAATTCATATAAAATTCATATAAAATTCTGGGCATAACCCCAACTAACATGATTTCAACTTCCAGAGAAAGATTATAACATGTACTACAAGTTTTATGTTGATCATATTTTCACATAGTCACATTAAGATTGTCAAAAAAAGCCCAACATCATGATCCACAATTCTGCCCGGAATTTCAAAACTGCTCGCATTTACAACTTCAAAAATTCATAATAAATTCAATTCAACTCCGAATCATGAAATTTCAAAACTCACAGAAACATAACTCAAAGCACTACAAAATGTATGAAGAACTCTTAACCAGAAAATAGATTTTAGGCCATGATAATCTGAGCACAAACAGAGGCTATAACGAGAAGTTCTCATACGATTTTCAGCACAAAAACATAATTTCATTTACATAGCATCAGGGGTCACATGTAATCACAATATACACCTCCTTACGCTTATATACAATATAAGAGAGTCAGTCCTAACATGATTTTTAACACAAATTCACATAAACTCATACGATCACCACATAACACGTTTAAAGAATCACAGTTGTGCAATAATCGTCAAG